ACAGACTTGCAAGCACACGAATGGCTGTAATAGTTCCATGAGATTTGACTTCATAAAACTTGTTTTGAAAAGTCTCAGACAATGCAGCGTAACAGCTAAGCTGTGTGAGTAGGGATTGTTTGTGGAGAAATGGCTATCCAGGGTTTTTGGGCTTGAAAGAAGATAAGGTCATGTTATCAAATGCTGTTTATCAGCATCATGCAGTAGCAGAAACTAGGGAAGTGTGTCACTTCTTTTGGAAGAAGGAAGGGCAATGTTGACTACAAATTATATTGTTATAGCTAATACCAGTGCATTTAGTAGTTCTAAGAAACAAAGTCATTTGGATTAAAATACATAGTTTTGAAGAGGTATTCTGAGTCATTAAAAATGAAGAGAAAATATTGTTTAAAATATTGCCTGGATTGTAAAATAACTGCTGTACATACAGAATTGACAGTATCATATATTGCTCTACAGCCTTACCTTTATTATTTCTTTGAGGTTAATAATGTTAACCTGTCTGCTGGAAGATGCTTAGCTTGTTTGCCTAGAAGTAAGATGGTGAAGTTGTCATGTGTATTTTTTGAAATCAAGTTAGTTACACTATAACAGACTAGTGATTACTTAGATTTGGCCTTCATAGAGTAATGCACACCCCCCCTAATTTTATTTTTTCTGAGGCTGTTTTACCTCCACAAAGCATTGCTAGGCAGAGGGATACATCATTACTGGAATGTGCTGACAAGAATTTAATAAAGATGGAGCTGTGCAGCAAGTCTATTCATAATTGATTGAAATAAATATTTACTCCAGGAGTTGAGAGTTAAACACATTTAACTATTGCAGAAGGTCTCTATCCTGTCCTCCCTCACAGGAAAAATACCCTTGAAAGAGGATATTTCCCATCACACTGAAAAAGAATATTAAATATTCTGTAAGGTGGGGGGTCCCATCATAGTTGCAGATATGCAAGTAGGTCTTTTTGTGCTGTTAGTTTGTGTTTGCCATCTGAGATGCTCAGAGGCTGAGGTCATAGCTTCTTGAGCATTTTTTCTGGCAATAAGGCTCAGTTTTAAGAATCATCCATCAATTTTCCTGCCTCTCCATTCTGCTTGTGTGGCAACAGAATGGAGAATCAGAAAACTGACCTAGGTTACAGACAACCTTGTTTTATGCAGCTGCACAAAGGGGTGTGTGTATGCTGGAGCTGGTTAGAGTTGCTAGGCAAGCACATGTATGCTCACCAATTTCAGTATTAATTAGTGATTAATGCCAGCACTACACTCTGCCAGCAGTACACTCTGCAATGCTTTTCAAAACATAACTGTAACTCCAAAATCTGCAGAGACACTGAAGAGAGAATTTAAAATGGGAAGCTTTAGCCCAAGAATAGAAGCCTCTTCAAGTAATCTTTAAAGTCCATGAAGAAAGGCAGGACTTCTTCATGTTCTAGGGTTTAGTTTGACATCAGTCTTATTTCATGAAGTGGAATACATAGCAAAGAAGTTACTGTTTTCCTGTAAGTGAGAAAACTCTCACAGGCTATTGGTTTTTTTCAACACTGCAGAATGGAGGGCTGGAATCTGTATCAAAAGACAACATTTGTATGAAATACATTAATTCTGCAGAGTTTTGGGAAGCTCTCTACCAGTTACAATGGGGACGACAGAGACCTTTTTGTTTTCCATCACAAAAGCTGATGCTAGGAGCTGGACATATGTGCAGGTTTATCTGTTCTGTAAGTTTCAGTGGCTGTGGTTTATCAGCATTTTACATCAGCTGTATTTCTCTTCTGACAGCTGTGAGTATGGATAAAAATTGGGAGAATTTACAGAATCACAGAATTGTGAGGGTTTGGAAGGGACCTATGGAGATGATCCAGTCCAACCCCCCTGCCAAGACAGGATCCCCTAGAGCAGGTTAGAAAGGAATGCATCCAGGTGGGTTTTGAGTGTCTTCAGAGAGAATCCATGACCTCCCTGGGCAGCTTTAATAGATTTAAACGCTGTAACCAGAGTTTAGGACCAGCTCTTCAGTGCCTTTTACTCAGTGGTAAAGTATTTGTTAAGAGAGAAGCACTGAGAGGCCTCCTGTAACAAATGGGTTACTGATTTAATTTGCTGAGTATTTTGCCTAGAACTCACAGAACTGTCTTAACACTTTTTATGTGGAGTAAAAATGTTAGTGAGACAAATACTTTTTACATATTTTGGTGGCAGACGTCTGCTGCACAGACTAATGTTGCATATTTTCAGTGAACCCATAATAGTTTGTGTTTCAGCATAGATTGCAGAGACATTGGTTCCCACATTCCCCCATTTCCCTTTGTCTTGGAGTCTCCTGTCACTATACAGCAAAGCTTTTTTCCCCTAGAATGTTACTTTAAAACTAAAAAGAGTAGAAGCTGCTGTGTGAAGTTTTGCCTTTGGATGAATTTCTGAACTGTCTGTTCTAGGAGGTAGCATTTCCTTTGTTCCAAGAGCATAAACTCAGGCCTTTGCTGCGGACAGGCAAAAGCACTGCCATCAAAGAAGAAGACTCTCACATGGATTTGTGTCACTTATCAATGAGCAGTTATCCATTGATGCTCACAAGTGGTTCATAATTCTCTCTGAGTAGACAGCATTTTTGTGGGTTCATATTCTTCGCCTGACAAAATGCCTATAACACTTCTGCCAAAGGCAGTGTTTTCCAAGGCTTAGCTTTCCTGGTGCCAAGAATTCTTCAAAAGCAGTCCAAAAGCCAAGTACTAGTGGGCATAAAAAGCCTACTGTGGCAATAGAAAAGGCTTTAAAAACTTTTGTATTTGTTCATACAAGTGTTTCAGTGTGGAAAATCCTGTCTTTAAGCTTCATTAACTTTATAAGACTGCAAACTAAGAGTCCAGTGTTTGATGCATTTTTATGCATTTAAATTTTAAGACAATGAGCATTAAAGTTGAAATGCAGTTACAAGCAAGCACGAACAAAAATAAAAACTATTTTCACTCCAGAACAAAGTGCTGTGAGGCCTGCAGCTCTGCAACACTCCAGCATAAACCTAGATGGAAGTTTTAAGGGAGCCATTCATAGAAAAATGCAAAATTCGTTGAGCAATGTATAAGAGAAAGGATTGGTCTCTAAAAAGAAAGAGTAATAGTTGTAAGCTGCAAGATGCAAGACAATGATCTTTTTGCCATGCTGTGTTGCCTAAAATCTTCCAGCACTGTCCACCTGTCTAGGATGGATGTAGTGATGAAACTTCTAAGTCACTGCTGAGAATTTTTCAAAATCCCATACTCTCACTACTCTACAAGCAGTTTGATATAATGAAATACCTATTCTGGCATGCAGGGTGAGATCTGAGTAACAAAATGTGCAATGGCAGAGAGGGTGCAGCCAGAGGATATTTAAGGTCCCTTCTGATCCAAACCATTCTCTGATTCTATGAATAGCCCCAAGTACTGCAGTCTGGGATTCTAGAAACTGTGACTTGGCTTCCCAGTACACACCAGCCATCAAACATTGAGTACATTCAAGTTCAACATTAAGCAAGTATGTCAACAACATATATGGTGCTTGCAGCAGTTCTGTCATGCACAAAAGACACAAGTCCAAACATTAATACAGAATATGCTATTTAAATGGGGAACAGAACAGCTTTGTGATTCATCACAGCATGAACACTAGTCTTCTTTATAGTTGTTCCATAAAATTCACACAATTTTATATGCTACTCTTGAAATAACACAAACTGAATTCTAGACTTGCTTTCATGTGAGAACCTGTGGGCTCATACAAGAGTTGTGTGAATGATTTCACTTTGCAGTGCTATTGCTTAGCAAATTCTAAAACTGCAGCACAGGACTAAATTGGATTTGGATTTCTGTGTGGCATCTCTGTAGCCATCTAAACTCTCAGTCTTTAAGCTGTCTGCTTCCATTGCTGTCTGCTTTTCATTTCCATTATTGAGCTGAATTACAGATAAAATGTTTCCAAATGTTCCACCTTTGGAAATTTAACTTGGTTACTGTAGCTTTTGCAGGTTTTGCAAATTTGCAGGTTTTCCTGTATGCCAGAATTTTTCATTCAATTTCATGGGAAATCTGTCCCTGTATTCCTTTAGATGTCTCTAAAGCCTTTGTTAATACCTGTTTTGTTGAGTCCTGTGAGTTGCCCAAGCTGCTCTGAGGCACAGGAGAGGGGCTGTGAGGAGCGTTGTGTTCCCGCAGGCTGCGGCTGTGGGTGGCTTGGGGCTGCGAGGGGCGGCTGCTCCATGCTGGGCAAACACTGGGCTCCTCAGAGACCCTGACCTGCACGGGGGGTTTGGGAGTGACTGGGCAGAGTCCAGGATGTGCAGCTTCTCTGCAGGCCATGGTAGGGATGTAGATGTGCATCCAGTCTGCAAACTCAGCATTCTGAAAGCCATAAGCTGGTCTGAGCTGTGTGACCTCAGGATGAATGTAGTTCCTGCAGCCAGTGGATTTGTGGCAGGCAGGCAGGGAGAGAGATGTGCCTGAATAGTGGATCACAGAGGGTTGCATACAGCAGTCTGCTTCTATCTGAATGTTTTCCACATTTGTCATCCAAGCTAAGGGGATTGCAGAACTTTTAAGGTTCAAATGAAGAGTTTTTTTTAAATCATCGGTTTTAACTATTTTAGTAGTGTTGTGTTGGACTGTGCTGTTAACTAAAACTTACCACCTTATGCATGGATTATTCAGTTTTTGAAAGTGGAGACAAATCAGTGCCTGTGTTTAAAGCCCTGTGAGACGGCATTCAGTTCAAGATGGTTTTTTGTTTTGCTTAGGAAAATAGGAGTGACCAACTAGTCCTGATGGCTGTAAATTCTTAGAGGTCTTAGTAAATGTCTTTAATTTGTTCTGTCTTATTTGTGTAATCCAGAAAATATTCTTCTTTGTCAAAAAAACCTTCACCCAAGTAAGGAAATAAAACTAGATGAGGCTGCTACTACAGCCTTAAAGCAAAGCCACTGTAGTGCACAAGCATTTCTTAAAATACTTTTTTTCCCCCCCACAGACCTAAAGATTTTCGAAGGAAGTAATAAGAATGAAAGAAGTGCCGTCAGGAGTGTCTCTCCTCCCTCAAAGAAAATTCTTCTAATATGGAAGCATCTGTGCAGCTCAGTCAACCCTTCTATGCTAAATGTTTCTGACAGGTGTTAGCAAATTTGACTCGGTAAGGTTATAGAAATTCCTATATTTGAAACAGCTAAGATTAGGTATTATCTTGTTAATGCCGTCTGTACTCTGCATTGTATGATCTGGTATTTTTTATTGACATTTGATTTGATACTGTTATTAAAGAATTAATACCTTTATAATGAGTATTTGCATCTCATAGAAACAGTACATTGACTACTGCTATGAAGTAGCTCACTGCTGACAAACCACTGTTCCTCAAAGAGCTTGTTGAAATAACAGGCATTAAAGGCAGATCAACAGAAAAGTACTTCTCCTTTTTTCCCCGCTTCAGCTTCAATCTGATTTTCATTCAAGTTACAGGAACATGCCTTACCTGCTTTAAGGAACATATTGCAGAACAGAGAAACGTTTTTATTATGAAAACCAAATGAGGAGATCAAACATAAGTATTGAATGGTGCAAAAAAAGTCATAAAATTCACTTCACTTTTGCAAGCTACTTGCCTGAAATTCCTGTCTGCTTTCCTGCTCTGAAAACCCTCAAGCCAAAGCTGTTCTGTAGATAAGTAAAGCACCTGTTGTTTGCTGTGTTGCAGAAAATGCTGGTATGTTATTTGCCAAATTTTACAATGTCTGGTGAGGAGAATTGGAGTGTTCTACATCTGTTTCATATAAGCATCATACAGGAAGAAAACTAGTTGTTTATTTATAAACATATTTCATTCCATGACATAATGGTTTGATATTGGGCCTTTCTTTGACATTCAGATGGGCTTATCCCAGAAAAAATTCCTATCTAGGAAGCCTTCACTTCCAAGTTAGTTAGTACACTGCATTAACTAGTGAAAGTATTTTTGAAAGGCCTAGGTTGCAGTAAATGCTCTTTTCTGTGTAAGGACACAGTATACAGTTTATTGGTAAGAACTGTGTGGCATCAGCTGTTCATCATGTGCTGAATCCTTCAGTCAGCAGCTTCAGTTTCTTAGGTGGTCTGGAAGAAATACGAGACACTCTTGATTATTCAGAGACTGGATTTTGGAGAAAATCTTGACTGACTGTGTCTTACTTCTTTTGGCAAACATACAATTCCTGAATAGTATTTTTATAACTGGGTAGAGCAGAGACTAACTAGTTAGTTACTCTTTATTACCAAGATAGGTCCAGCAAGTGACTATGTATGATTAATGATACCAGAAGCATTCTGGTCAGCCTGGACCCAGTAAATGGCACAGTAAATAGAAAGTTAAAATAAATGAACTACTGCAATTGAAGCTTGTGCTTTAGTATGTAAATAGTTATAAAATTTGATTGAGTATGGCCACTTCATTTTCCCCAAGTCATTTGTTTAAGTCACTCCATGTACACCATGGGGTGTGAGGAGGAGGTGGCAGTGGCAGCCAGTTGTGCAGGTGTCCGGTACAGGGGATCCCTCAGGCGCAGAGCACCCAAATTCCCTGTGTTCAGGAGGGGGCTGTGCTGCTTCCAGCTGCTCCCCAGGCCAGCCCAGGAGAGTGTGGGGTGTGGGAGCTGCTGGAACTGGCATAGGACAGGTGACATCCATTGCACACCACAAGCAACCTCAGGGATTTGGTCAGGCTGTTCCATGGAGTAAATAACACCAACTGCCTTATTTTGATCAGTTTGATTATGCTGTATCCCTACGTCCCTGGTGTTGCCCTGTGGTCTCATCACTCTCTGTGGTCCCAAAAGAACCTGAGATTTGGATATAGTGTTGCAGGCCAGCCAGTCATGACTAATATATTGTGCACTGTTAGCAGGAGACTCAAAGTCTTCCAAAGACAAAACGGGCAGAATTGCTTGAAAGCTGATTTTTTTCCATCAGTGACCTTCTCAGTCACTTCCACAGGTCAGCATATATCAAGCAGAACTCTGAACTGTGTCAGTGGAACATGAATGGGAGTGAGCTAACCAGGGAGGGGCAGAGGGAGTTTGCAGTTGGGATAAGTTAACATGGGTATTGACAGCCAGTGCCAGCAGGGAAATTAACCCTGTGACCCCAGGCATTATTGTATTTAGTTTTAATAATACCTTTGAGTATCAGTTGCATGTGCCAGGCTGTGGTACCTGAGAGCCATGTGACCTGTGGCCAAGAGAGCCATGCTCACTTGGGGCCTCAATGTTCTGTCAAGTGGGGTTAAGCTGCTAAAAAATAAAGTCCATGAACTACATTATACTTTTCTACCTTCTATTTTAAATGCAAGTGCAGGCAACTAAATGACAATCAACTCACATTCTATCAACTTTTATTGCCTTTCCCCAAGAAAATGGGTGGAGTCAGAGGTGAAAGAACCTAGGCAGCCAGAGCCTGCTAGTCCTGTGTGCAAATCGTGTGTGCTACTAATGAGGCTGAATTCTAGGTGAGATAATTGGAGATTCTACAGTAAAGGTACCCATTCATCTTCTTCCTGGCGAGCTGAGGGAGTGGCTGGCAGTGGCCAGAGGCCAAACCTGACAGGCTTTTCTTTACTGTAGAATATTACTAGACCCGCTTCCAGTCAGGGATGAGCAGGAGGATGGTCCTGAGATGTGCAGGACAGCCTCTCAATGTCTGTAAAGGGCTGAAGAAAGTGTTCCAAATGTATGCTTTCAACTTAAATGTCCGTTCTTGAGCTAAATCTTGCTCAGTCTCCAGTACTGTTCAAAGCTGTTTACTGAGTCTCTTTTTAACTTACCTTGTTTGTAGCTGATTAATTGCTCTGTGCTCAAGTTGGATTGGTGTTTTGCCTTCCTCTCCTCTTTAGCTGATCCAAGTAGCCATCCCAAAAACACCTGCCAGTCTTTTGATTTGGGCATGTTGACATGAGGAATCTCACATCTGCAGCTGGTACAACTACCTCAGCTCAGTTACTCTCTGCATTTGTCCATATACAATTTAAAAAATAAGACTAAATAATGTTTATAGTCAGACTTTAAAATAAAACTGTTGCCCCAAAGTGGTGAAAATAGGAAACGTGTTTCCTTCTCATTACATTCTGTCCCCTTAAGATCTAATGCAGTTGTTTTGAGTTAAAAATCAAATTAATACAGAATTACCATACAAAAGCTTGCCACTTTTATTTGCATACAAAACAGAAATGAAAGAGGTTCACAATAAATTATCAGTGTGCTCCCACGGAACATTCTTGTGTATTTATTTTAGGTGAGTTAAGAAAACAGTGGTCTGTAATGTAAGAAATCTTTACAAAAGGATAATAACTGGGGTGCAAGGACACCTGATGCATTGTTCTCCAGTGGATTTAGTCAGGTTACTCTGCTAGTAAAGCAATTAATCCAAAACTAAGAGAAAGTAATCAATCAGCTGGGGAAAAATGGATTACAAAACATTAACTTTTATGAATGGTTCTATGTACACCACCTAGCCAGATGCATTTCTCAGATACAGTTTGAAGAGTGAATGGAACAGTACTCCAGAGCAAGATCTACAAGTGACCTTTCATCATCAGCTAGCATCAACCCACTAACATACTAAACTTCTGGCATGCAAGATAATTACCATCATTTGTTGTGTCAACTGGCCATGTACACTTTTCTCTCCTTTAACATAAGAGCCTGTAAACATTTTCAGTGACAGGTGAGGCACCAGGGCAAAAGGCCAAACACAGGTGTGCATAAAATGTTTCCCTTTTTTCAACAGTTCATTGAGGGGGGCTTTTTCCGTTGGCCTTAGTGCGCACTGCGGTCTTGGCACTCCTTTTGGCTATCCTCCTTGCGAAGCGACTGATTCCCGGGGATCTCAGCTCAGCGGCTTCCATCTCCTCTTGAACAGGAGTAAACTCTGCTTGAGCAAGATGAGGTGATGGATAGGACTGGGAGTATGGGGATGGTAAGGGGTAGGACCCGTGAACTACGTACGGCTGTTGCTCACCGTCATAAAGGTCGTCAGGGTCATAGATTTGGTAGGAGTTATGTGGCAACTGCACTACTGGGATGTCTTGATCAGTTGGCTCACCGTATCCACCTTAACCCACCACCACCAAGAGTATTCATACGGTTAACACAGGAGAAGGGGAGTAGAAAATTAAAGCATTCATTAGGAAATTGACATTTTATATATAGATATATTTCTATATCATGTGTGTGAGTATATATATAATCTTTAAATACAAATCTTTTATTCACATAAAGGAACAATGAAAACATTTAACAAAATTAATAAGCTGGAGCAATTGGAAACCCACCAACAGACAGCCAAGTTAGTTGGAAACCACCACCACAATTTGTCAAATGTCCGGTTGTAATACTGTGCTCATTATACACTGCACACTCTGCCTGCTGTAGCTTATTCCAATTATGAGCTAGAATACATGAGTAGCAGGCAAAAATGGGTCAGGCAATAATTTTTAGCAGTGCCAGGAAGCCAAGTGCATGTACAGCAGCTGTAAGTTCATTAGTGGTAGTCATTATCGTTGCTGGAAAGCACAGAGCAGTTCAGCATCCATCTCTGACCTTCAGCCCAATGAGACCTGAACCAGAATGAGCCTTTCACCTTCTGGATTGGTAGCCATTGTAAGGGATTGGGCCTTAAAACAGGAAATGAACAACGGGGAGGGGAAGTGAGGAGAAAAGGACAGGAAGAGATGACAACAAAAACATTCAGGTAAGTAAAACATACAAATCAGCTCAGGGGCAGATTAAACTGTAAACATTAAACAAATATGCGTTATGCATAACATTTGTAGTTTAGCGCTTTACTAATTCATTTTGATTTTAGGTTGGGTGATTTAATTTTTGGCAATTGTGTTAACTTCTTCCCATGGCCTCTCCGTGCTATAACGAGGTGGGAAAGTAGGATACTAGGATACAGAGAAGATACAGAAGGAATCATTTTCTCCAGATGGCTTCACTGGTTAATGATGGACACGTGCATCCCTGTGCCATGTTACACTACTACAGGTTTAGTAGGGGTCATGCTCTCATGCCACTCAGAGGCACATGGAAGGGGAGGTTGAGCAACACGTTTGAGAAACTACAAGTGTAAAAACTCTGCTGTCACAAACATGAGATGGTAGGGCTTCAACACAGAGTACTGAGATGGAGCAGGCTCTTACAGCTACACAAACACGTACAGGACAAAATCCACTAGGCAGGATTGGTTTTAGAGGCTGGGATCAGACGCTGGTCACTTTCCTTTGGTCACTACGCTGGATCACCTTCTC